CCGAACAGAGAGAGGAGGATTTCTATGGCAGAATGGCCAACATGGTATCTTTATTTCATACATCTCTTCAGAAAGTGTCAGCTGCATTGCAGACATTGGCAAACTTGAGAGTGTATTGGGGATCCATCTTGCTCTTCAGCAAGACCTGAAGCTTAGTTTTATTTCCCCACTGGCCTGCCTTCAGTGGAATAAATAACACAGAACTAGTATAAAAATTCTAGGCGTAATTTCCTTCTCTAAAAATATATATATTTCTTTTTAAAGGGGAGAGGTGGATATCAGGCTATTGACTGAAGAGTTTAATTTATCTTTCTCTGCTCTGCCTTCCTCTCTCATGTCCCAGAATGGTTCTTCATAGCCAGAAGAATTTGTAGTGTACATCAGCAACTGAGGCAAGCAAGCCATAAAGAACAGTTCTGTGACTGAGTTTTAAAAAATAGCATTGACTGACACTTGGTCATGGCTGGAAACGTGGCAGGTGTTTATCAAAATCCCAAACCCTGTTTTTTAAAAAATACTGTATTTTAATTGTTTAAATATCATTGAAGTGGTATCTCCTTGGAAGTTAGTTTAGGCAATTGTTGGAAAGAATTAATACAAACATTTTTAATAGGGATACATTTGGCAACTGATAAAGGATGGGGAGACTTTTTCACTAGAAGTTAATCATGCTTATAGAAGAAACAGTGATTTTTTTTTTTTTACATTTTTTTTTTTTATGCTTGAGTTTCTATATGAACTTTAGAACAACAACCTGGTGTTGGAGGAGAAAAAAAATGCAGCAACTGCTCCGTGGTGCAGCATTTTTGTATCTTTCCTCCTGTGGGCTGGATAGCCTGCACAGCAGTGCCCTGATTTAACTCTTTTTAATGGGCCAGTTACATGATAGTGCAATTATGTGGCCAGACTTCAGCTCTTTTTCTGCACCTCCTACATGTCAGAGGAGATAGTAGTACCCAAATAACCAGCTTGACTATCTTGAATTGTGTGGGAGTTCTTGATAAAAAGTGACTGTTGTATCAGATATTTAGCTGCTTGCTTATTAAGCATGTCCTGGCTTTATATCTAACCAGGCCCCAGGACGAAGATCCAGATCTGCATCTCAGTCTTCAGCACATATGGTATGCCATGAGCAGGCTGTTTCTTTCACTAAATCTTCATTCTTATTTATGTTTATGTGCTTTTGTATCTCTTGCTATTACTAACTTTTCAAAGAAGGAATTTGTTTAGCAAGATGAAATGTAATCCATCAATCCAGCAGTGACAACTTTATATTTTCCTGTGTGTTTGTAATACAGGGCTATGGGCGAAGATCACGAACAACTTCAGAGTCCTCTGCTCATTCTGTGGGACGAGAG